TTAACCAAAAAAGGGGATACAGATGAATGTCCATTTTGTATCTGTATTCAAAGTGGTTAGGATAGATATATAGTTGCATTCTCTTAATGAATAGAGGGATTTGTTCTAATGGTGTTTGTAAATAGGATATCATGTCCACATCTTGTACAGCAATTAACCACGAGGAAGAATGTATGCAATGTGTTAATTATGGAAACTGTCCTACCAATTTGGTTTGAAACTGTCTCATTGCTATTTGTTTCTCGATAAAATTATGGAAAAAATAAAGAAAAAATAAAGAAAGAAATTAAAAAAATAAAGTGAAGAAGATACTATAAAAATACAGATTTTAAATAAAATATTTATATAAAAATAACATGGACTAAATTCTATGTAAATATATGATTTCATGAAAAAATAATTATTTTCCATATTGGAAAATATTTTGCAAGAAGAGTGGTATAGATTTTTGCAAATATTTTAACATCTCTTAATAGCTAAATTCTTTTGCTCCATTCCATCTGTTCCAAAATCATATCATGTGACTTTTAGAAAATTCTATTATGCTTGTGACAAAAAAAGGAGTGAAGAAGGCAAATAACATAAGAAAATAGTTTTGCTGGGTGTGATGGTGCATGCCTGTAATCCCAGGAGGATGCACTCCGGAGGCTGAGGCAGGAGAATTGCCATGAATTTGAGACCAGCCTGGGCTACATAGTGAGTTCAAGTCTACCCTGAACTATATAATGAGACCCAGTTTCTAAAATTAAAAAAAAAGTTTTAGTCACTTAGACTACCTCAGGGTTCCCAGATAACAGTTTGAGTACCCCTGATGTTTTTGAATTTCCCAACAAAGCAGGGAACCCCCAAACCTTTTCTGTAAGGGCCAGGTAGCAAATATTTTAGACTTTTTACTCTCTGTCAAAGCTATTCAATTCTGCTTTGGTAACAGGAAGTTAGTCATGAATAAGACTTAAACAAGTGAGTGTGGCTGTGTTTCAATAAAACTTTATTTACAAAAATGGGTGGGGCCCTGGATTTGGCTACTGGGTGGAATAAGCCTATAAGGCTGATGCCACAAAAAGAAGAGGGCTTCCTATCTAATTTACTTTAATCGGGGTCCTTCTAGAGGGAGAGGGAAGAGAGCACCTGATCTTCTAATTACTCTTTTCCTTGATGGTAAACACCACAGTGGCTGCCACAATAGCTAGCCCAGGGGAGCAGCCAGTCCTCCAGCTGCTGAGGTAGACCACCTTCCTGTCGCTTCGTATTTGTGCTCCTGTTCACTTCTGGAGCTGCCTTCCTTCACACCCTTGTTCCTAGTGGGCTGAGAGCTGGCCATAACCCAGATCTGGCCACCTCTAGCTGCCCCACCCCATGCCTCAGCACAGGGGACACTAGAAATGTCCTGGCAAATGGGCATTTTTCTTCTCTGCTGCAGACAAAAGGTATTTCTCCTGGACCTGGTTGGTTTATATACCCCTGGCTCCAAGATGTCATTTCTTCAGGACAACATTGTGTTTGTCAGGGAGGCCGAGGTCAGGTTCCTCTTTGGGAGATCCCAGTCACCCCCTAGACCTGCCTTTGTGCCTCAGTTCCCTCTTGCAGCCCTTCTGGCTCTCTGGTCTGAGCTCTCTCCAGCTTGGGGAGCTGGCCCCTGGGTCACTAGGACTTTTATGAGCACTAAGAACTTTGCCTGGAAAGAGCCAGAGGCAGCCTAAGAAAAGTGTCCTGATGGGACCTGCCTTCCTCATCCTCAACAGCTTCATCCCTCTTGGCCTCTTGGTCTTCTCCACTAGAGTGATGGAGTCACCCCTGGGGGCCAGGTAGAACGAGGCAGAGGCTTGGCTCTGAGCAGAGTGGGCCAGAGCCAACTCCAAACCAAGCCCACTTAGTTTTCAGGTGATGCACCAGACTCCTGAGGGGGCCCCAGCAATACAAGCAAAGCCAGGCTCTTTTGCCCAGAAAGAGAGTGCGTGCTGCCCCTGGAAGGAACTCATCTGCTCTCTTGTGATCATCCTCCAGCTCCCCAGGAAGATGCTCCTATTTGGCTTTAAAAATAGAACACTCAAGATGGACTTTTATGGTCTTATGAAGAGCGCTGCTGGTGCCCTCCCACACCTGGGCCCTGCTCCTGCCTGGCCCCGTCCAGCTGCCCAGAAGTGGTTCTGTGCAAGCTCTGGGGGTTGCTCTGCAGAGCTGTGGGCCCAGGCAGATTTACGAGTTCAGCCTCGGCTCAGGCCTTCTCCCATGGCTCCCAGCCACGGGCCAGCTGCTCTCCCACATCCCGTGCAGCTCGGACTGGGACGTTCTGTGTCTCTTTTCCTACCTCCACCCCAGCTTGCTGAGTCACCCCACACCCTCCTTTTCCCTGCTGCATTGGCCAGTCCTTTGGAGGAGCAGACCCCAGCCCTCCTTTATACTCATGATGACAGTGATGGCTTGTGTGAATCAATAAGCCTGTTGGGACTCTACTCTGTCTTGGATGTCAAAATTTAACAAAAAGATGGCTCCCTCCCTGCCTAGACTTTAGGTAGCAGCTCAGAAACTCCACCTGGTCCGGCAAGCTCATCTCCATGTGTACAGACTCTGTGATTAGTTAGTCTTTAGTTCTTTCTTCAGGACTGGGGACAAATTCCATTACAGCTCTGTCACATTTATGACACCTTTTGGCAAGACTTAGGGAGAACCAGGACAATACCTGAGGGGAAAAGCTGGCTTTGAGGGCCAATTTCTGGCATGACTGTGAGATAACTCTAGAGCTAATGAAGCTTCAAGCAGTCTTGGTACTGGGTGCTCACCGAGCCCAGCCCTGGCTCATTTTTCCTTGAGGTTAGGTTTCCTTGAGGAAAGTGACACGTGTAACATAATGGAAAGAGAAGGGGGCCGGGGAGATGGCTCAGTAGGATAAGCACTTGACTGGCAAACGCAAGGATCTGAGTTCAATCCCTGGTTCTGCAAAAAAAAAAAAAAAAAAAGAGAAGGCTGTACTGTTCCTTGAAAAAAGATCCATGTTGTTCTTTCAAGGTGTTTCCAGGTTGTCACTGAGTATATCGTTAATATCCTTCACAGGTAGGGCCTTAGGTATTTTGTACAGGGTCTCCCTACACAGCTTGGATTTGTAGTGGTCCTCCTATCACTTTCAACCTCCCTAGAACTGGGATTATAGGCGTGCATCACTGGCATGTGGGACTGGGGATAGAACCCCAGTTCCTGCCCTTGCCTAAGCAAGCACTTAGTCTGCTGAGCTATCTTGCTGGCTCTAGGTAGAGCCTTAAATGGTTGCCTGTGAGCAGCTTCTAGGACAAGATCTCTTCAAATAGGGCATTTGGTCCTAAGTGTCTCTGGAAATTGACACGTGTAAGCATGTGAGCTTTATGGCTTAACCTGTAGATATAACTCATGTCAACAAAAATGGGAAATGTACAGGAACCAGAGAGGCAGGAAAATGGAGTGAGGAGGAGCAGCTGGAGAGACCCATACGGAAGACGGCAACCCTTCATTCTCTACAGCCTCTTGCATGCTGGGGAAGCCTTCATGGTGCTGTAGAACAGTGTGCATGTCCCCTTCTTCAGTTTCCTCGCAGGCTGCAGAACCCTGCCTCAGACCTGTTCACACAGCTGCCAGGAGCTGAAGGCCCCTTAGCTTTCCCAGAAGCACCTGAGGCCGCTACCATTTGGGCCCCTCCCTCTGCACCTTTGTGGTTATTTCTGTCTCTTCCCTCAGTGCAGAGTTTTTGTAGGAGCCTCAGGGGAGACAAGAGAAGGGAGATGCCATAACCTGAATTCAAAGGCAGTCTAACCCTGTCCTTTCCTACTTCTCTGTTGCTGTCACAGAAGAGTCACTGGGAAGTCCCCAACTGGTGCCAAGGGTGAGGATCTCTGTCCTGTGCTCCCTGGAACTCTTTACCACTAACGAGCCCACTGCTTTCTCCGTCTGCCTGATGGAACTTGGCAGCTGAGCCTAAGTCGAATCCACTGGCTGAGAGTCAGGTAAGGGAACACAGGTAAGGGCTGGTACCAAATCCAGGTCCCTAATCAATAGTCAGAATAGGAGAATGGGATGAGCGTAATGGTCATTTGTCACCAAGAGCTGGTGAGAGTGGCTTGGTAAGAAGGAGAACATCTGCCTCTCCAGAGTCTTGGGGCCCCACCTCTGCTTCCTTTGATTTTTGGCTGGAGGCGATGGCTGTGGTGGAGTCCAGGCCAGAGCATCCCAGGCCTCCAGCATAGAGACGAGATCGCATGGGCCACTTCTGCAAGACATACAGTGGGAAGTGAGTAATGCAACCAGTGCAGCCTTGCAGGGCCAGAGTCTCTGTCACCTCATAACCTGGCCTCCCAGCAGCTCCACCTCACATCTTTCCTGGTGTCACACTCTGGCAGCAGTGGCCTCGCCATCATGTGTGGTCCTCATGATCTCCTGACACCCTGAGCTGGATGAGAGGCCCAGCAATGGCCTCAAGGGGATCAGGTTTTGGCTGAGAAGGTGAATAGGAGGTCCAGTGCCCTGGGAAGAGCTGGTACCAGCCAAGGGCTGGGCAATGGGATGAACGGTGGCTCCAGGAAAACCTCCCAGCTGGGCCCCTCCAAGAAGTAGGCTCCTTCCAGCCAGAATCCTAGCACATGCCCAGTTGACTCTGCCCCGCATCTGCCCTCCTTCCCCAGGAAACGAGGGCGCTAATTCCTGGGTAACTACCCCACCTCACCAACCTGCCAGAGTCTTAGACCTACACCTTCCTTTGTTCACTCTTCCACATGTTTATCAGTCATCTACTACACGTAAGGGTCTTGGTCACCAATCCAACTAAGGTTTTGCTGTTACTTCGGCACTTCAGAGTTGCTCCAACAGCCTAGAATCTTGCATTTTAGCTATAATTGTAAACAAAGACTTCAAGCTTCAAGACATTTCCTAATGATGCTATTTAGAGGAGAGAGTTATAAAAAAGTCTTCTACAAAAATAAAATTGACTCCCTTTATAATATTTTCCTCAAAGCTGGACTTGGTGAGGCATGCCTGTAATCCCAGCACTTGGGAGGAAGAGGAAAGGGGTTCCTTTCAAGTTCAAGACCAGCCTCAGCTACAAAGTGAGCTCAAGGCCAGCCTAAATTGCATAATAAGACTCTGTCTAAAAAAAAAAAAAAATCCTGAGAGGCAAAGATGACCCTCTTCCTTTATAGGGGAGAGCTCCATTTGCCTGGTTCTGTACAGCACCATCCCAGGGCACAATCCATGAGCTCAAGCCACATTCAGCCAAGTATTGATTGCTCTATACTTCTGTCTCCCCTTATTTGTGAAACAATCTGCATTTGGTCCTTGCATGGTTCAAGAGAGTAAAACGTGCTGGAGTGGAGCACTTGCTTGGCATGCACAAGGCCCCTGGTTCAATCTCCAGCACCCTAAGTGCTTAGGTCAGCTCCTGGCCCAGCATTAGCACCTAAGCAGGTTAGCTGGAGTTGCAACTGCTCACTACTTTGCATTCAGAATCCGAATTTGTGCTGTACAGGAGAAGATAGCCCCTGTTAATTTGCACTTTGCATAAGTGAAGCTGAGGTTCGGGAAAGCCTGGTGGTAGTGGCAAGCAGTGTGTGCTACAAGGTCCAACCCTATACTGCTGTCCCACATTCAGCTGCTTCTACACTGCTGCCTTGGCTCACTGTTCTCTTAGAAGGCAGATCTGTCTTGCAATAGTCATCCAGGGGGTGCCAGAGGATAGTCATCAAGGACTATCCAGTTGCCCCTCATTGCCAGGTCCCCAGCCCTGGAACCTGCCCCTTTTTTACCCTCTGACACTAACACTGAAGTCTTTCCCTCCTCTTGGAAAAACTGCATTCCCATGAGGCCACTGTCAGTCATGGTCCTGTGAGAAACACAGAATCAGCCCCATCCCAAGACCCAGCCTTAGCTCTTTTTCCTCTGAGATAGCAGCAAGTACCCAACCCCAGTGTCAGCTCTGCCCAAGACAGCAGCCTGATCCAGTGTCCTGCCATCTCCAGACCCTTCCTCAAGGCGCTGCACATTAAGTTTCCCTCCCCCAATGCCTGGCCCAAGCCCTACCTTGAGAGGGTGCAGGTAGCGGAGCCCACGCAGAAAGGGTGGCCAGGCAGGACTGGGCAACTCATGGCCCAGTGTGCGGGTAAGGTGGGCTATGTAGCTGGTGGCCAGCACCAGCACATCCAGCTTAGAGAGCTTGGTGTCAGGCGGCACAGCAGGCAAGGTGGCTTGCAGGGCTAGGAAGGCCTGGCGCAGGGTCCTCACACGGCTGCGCTCCCGCGCTGCGTTCTCAGGACTGGCCTCACTCTGCATGGAGGACCCCAGTGAGTAGATCTGTCCCAGGATCCATCTGACCCAGCCCTCTAAGAATATCTGGAGAGGTGACACTGAAGGGCCTCAGTGCACCTTTGTGGTTCCTAGCCCTGTTCTGGTTACAGCTGCAGCAAGGCCTAGGCTAGGGTTGGATGGCAGCAGGGTGGCAAAGCTTGGCTCAGAACCTGGGTTTCCTCTGTCCCTCCACTAGTGCCCACCCCACTCCCTTGTCTGAACCCTTCTCTTCCTTGGAGCCACGGAAAACATAGCCACACTTTGTGGAGTAGCATTGAACCTTGACCCATCAGGTTCCCAGATAAAGAGTTTGCTGTGGAAAGGACCCTGAGCCAAAAGTCAAAACAACAGGCCAGGTTCCGGTGCTGCTGCTGCTTGTAGCTTCAGGACTTCGTCCGATTCACATCCCTCCTCCAGGACCCACTTTCCTCCAGAGGAGTTGCGCCAGCTCTCTGAGCTGTGCTCTGGTTAAGACCAACTCCCATTCATCTCTGGCACCCCAGCATACTGCTGTGTGGTTTCGGGGACCTGCGCTCCACTTGGGTGGCCGCGTGCATGGCCCTCCAGCCCCTGCCTCCCCAGTTCCCTCTGCTGGTCCAGGATGTCCTTACCCTGCTGTAAGCTGGGCCCCGAGCCCTTGCCCCTCTAGGGCTAGGGACAGGTCTGCTCCACCTTTGGTCACTCCAGCTGGTCTCTTCCCACAGATCTTGCCTTGTCCTGCTGAGGTGGCGCCTCTTCCTGTCGGTGCCTGGCAGCAGCCGTGTTTTGACCTTAGCCCGGCCATGCTCCACTCTTGGCATCGCTGGTGGCCCTCGGACTTCCCTGTGTGACATATCACTCCCCTGGGACACCGGGCTGCAGCCCCACAGCAGGAGCACGGTGTCCAAGGGACCCTTGGGCTCAAGCTAGCTGGGGCAGACTGGCCATCCAGCCAGCAATGTCTACATCTGAGTGAGTTGGCGCCAACTCAGTCCTGCTTTGCTCCTTGCTCTGGGAAAACTGCCCACCCGGCACAGCCCCCGCGAGAGGCCTCCGCCCTCCTCCCAATGGGAATGAGGGGTGGGGGCGCTGGATTCTGGGAGTGGCCAGATGGTGGGAGGAGCCCCCTGCTGAGGGAGACAGGAAGGTGGGTGGGTCATGGATGAGCCCCATGACTGTCCTATGGTGGATCCACTGCTTCAGCATAAGGGCTCAAGTTCACAGAAGGCCCTGGACCTCCATCCTCCATGCCAGAAGACAGCCTGCATACATTCCAAAAAAGCCTTTGCTCTTCTAGACAATGAACATGGCCTTCCAGTCACAGAGAACTGCTTCCTACCCTCTAAGGCATGCCCCCATTTCCAGCTCAGCTTTAACTTCTACCTTTCCATGCCCTAAAAAGCCTACCTCCACTCCACCCAGGAATGCTGTCCATCATCCGGGTTCCACCCTTTGTCTAGGAGGATCTCAGACTAGGCTGAGCCAAGCACAGGTCCCAGTCTGATTAGTTCAGCCCTAGCTCATTGAGCTCCTAACAGTTCAGCTTTGATAGATCACTGTGTGCCAGGCACTGAGCTCGGCACTATTTCTATCTTCTGTAGGTCTCCAAGCAACTCATCTTACAGGTGGGGACACTGAGCTATCAGGAGGTGAGACTGCATGCCTGGTGTCAAGTCCAGCAAGTGGTGGGGCGGGATGAAGCCCTAGGCACTTGGCTGCACTCGGGAGGCACCCCTCGCCCTGTGCTGTTCAGCTCCCAGCTGGACATGAGATCTCTGAGGCCAAGCACCGCGACCTTTGCTGAGTCCATCACCTCCTCCAGTGGCTAAGCAGGGGCAGGAGGCTGAAGGAACAGCAAATCTGCCCAGGATCCCATCTGGCCTCCAGTAAGAGCCTCGGCCTGCAGCAAAGTCCGTCTGGAATGGCTCTGCCTCCGGTCTTGAACTCCAGGGAAGACAAAGTAAAGAGAAGCTACAAGCACAGATATTCATACAATGAGAGAGACACCCAGAGAACCAGAGAGAAAGGGAAAAGAGAAAAGCGAATGCCATCGGAATGTCCATCAGTAGGGAGGCAATAAAATAAATGTGGGTGTATCTGCATTATGGGATCATGTGCAGAAATAGAGTAAGACAGGCTTTTATATTCATAGAAGCAATTTAAAAACTCTCCAATCAGGGGGCGGGGGAGATGGCTCAGTGGAAGAAGCACTTCCCTGGCAAGCGCAAGGGCCTGAGTTCAATCTCTGGTTCCGCCAAAAAAAAAAAAAAAAAACCTCTCCAAGATATATGGTTAAGAGAGAAAATCTAGTTGTAGATAAATGTAAGGTTCTAGCCAGGCCAAAAACACAAAAACAAGAAGGAGGAGGAGGAGGAAGAAGAAGAGAAGGAGGAGACACAAGAGGAGGAAGAGGAGGAGGCAGAAAAAGATGGAAGGATAAAGGTTGTATTCTATGTGAATGAGAAAGGAGACTAAGATGAACACTAAGCTGGTTTTTTTTGGCAGAACCGGGGATTGAACTTGGGCCCTTGCGCTTGCCAGGGAGGCGCTTATTCCACTGAGCCATCTCCTTAGCCCTAAACTTTTTTTTCTCACAGCAGCGCCATTAAACAGCCACCTCAATTCACAGCATGCTGTCCTCTTTGGAATACAAACGACCTCTTGCCAACCTTGCTTCCTTCCTTTCTTCTTTTATCTATTTCCTTTGCTTCTGTTCTCATTATTCTCCCCTATTGGAGCCCACCACTCTAGTGTTTGACATATATTCTTTTGCTAGTAGGTGTAGTTTAAAAATATGTACACAGGGTTGGGGAGATAGGACCCGTGCCGGCCCTGGATCCCCAGACGTAGTGGGTGGTGGCACATACCTGTAATCCCAGCACTGGGGAGGCTGACACAGGAAGATCACTATGAGTCCAAGCTGCATAGCAAGACCCTGTACCAAATAAATAAATAAATAGTTATAAAAATTTTTAAAAAATAAAAATATGTACACAGCCGGTGGCGGTGCATACCTGTAATCCCAGTGTCTGGGAGGCTGAGGCAGGAGGATTGTTGTGAGTTAGACACCAGCCTGGGTTACAAAGTGAGCTCAAGGTCTGCCTGAACTGCATAGCGAGAACTTGTCACAAAAAGACACACACACACACACACACACACACAGTCCCCTCTCTTCAAAGGCGGGCATACTTACCCTGCCCTTGAAGGAGGCCAGACTTCTGACTTGCGCCTGACAAATGTAACAAGGCAGACTGTCATTGGGACAGTGGAATGAGATTAGAGAGGACATTATAGCTTCCTCTTCATTCTCTCGTTTTATTCTAGTCCTTTTCTGTGAGTGTCATGATTTATACCATGAATGTCTGTGTTCATGAGAAGAGTGCTAAACTTGATGGTTTTAGTGAATTTACAAGTATGTCAGATTATATGTACAATCTTTTGCTCTTCTAAGTAAATAATCTCTAATGCTGACTTTTCTTCTCTTTCTTTCTTTCTTTCTTTCTTTCTTTCTTTCTTTCTTTCTTTCTTTCTTTCTTCCTTTCTTTTTTTTTTTTGTATTTTAGGCAAGGGTCTACAGGGTGTTCAGGGTTTCACTACTAGATCAGACTAGTAGTGATCCATCTGTTTACAGCCTCCCAGGAGCTGGGATTACAGGCGTGCACCACCACGCCCAGTCTCAATTGCCATCTCAGCCTGCCCTGGGGATAGGCCCTGCACGAAATAATCTCTAATGAATCTGTATTCTTCTCTTTTTCTTCTTCCCCTTTCTCCTCCTCCTCCTTCTTTTGAAACAAGGCCTCACTATACTGTTCAAGCTGCCCTTGAACTTACTATGCAGTCCAGGCTGGCCTTGAAACTCACATGATGTAATATTATATCTCATTTATCTTTTTTTTTTTCTTGTACCAAGACTTAAACTCAAGACCTCACACTTGCCAGGCAGATACTTCACCACTGAGCTAAATCCCCAGCATTGATCATGTTGTGTTTGCTTACCTCCTGCCCTACTTACACTGAGTCTTTTTTTTTCCCCCTCTAGGAACTGGGCGCTTATTCTACTGAGCCATCTCCCTGGCCCCTCACTGAGTCTTTATGCTTAGAAAAATTCCAACTGTACACTACTCTTAGAAAGTAATTCTCTTACTATTTTGGTACATTTTATTTTTGTTTTGTTTCAGTCTTTTGAGACAGGGTCTCTCTTTGCATGCAGGCTACGCTTGAACTCGCTGTGTAGCCGAGGGTGCCTCAGCCACCACACCCCCCAGTGCTGGGATTACAGGAGTGTGCCAGCACAGTCACTTATTTTGTTATATGTTAGATAAAGAAAAATTCTAGGTGTTAGACTGGCAAAGCCCTTATTTAGTCTCCATGGGCAACAATGTTCATGGTGAATTTATCAAAATTAACCAAATACCAGAACCAAAAATGAGTTTAAACTAGATATTTTAGGAAAAGCTAAATTTGCTGTGAAGAAAAAACAACATTCTTAAACCAAGCGTGGTGGCACATGCCTATAACCCTAGCTACTTGGAAGGCTGACTCAGAAGGTATCACAAGCTAAAGGCCAGAAGACAACAATCTGCAATGTATTAATTATTATAACTGTCCTACTAATTGGCTTTTTTTTTTTTTTTTTTAAGTACTGGGGATTGAACTCAGGACGCTAGCTACACTTGCCAGGCAAGGGCTTATTCTACTGAGCTATCTCCCACTTCTTTCTCAATAAAATTAATTAAAAAAAAACAAAAAAACACCAAGTTGAAGGCCAGCCTGAGCAGTTTAGCAAGACCTTGCTTAAAAAAAAAAGAAAAAGAAAAAGAAAGGAGCATTGGGATTTAACTCAGCAGGGAAGGGAAGAAAAAAAAAAAAAAGACATGCCTTAGAACAGAATTAACTTTCAAAATATAGAACCTATAAAAGAGATGTTATTTCAGAGAGAGAAAGAGATAGGTAACTCTTTTAAAGGAAAATTATGCATTACAAAAATGGAGAAAAAAAATCACAAGGAGAACTGCGCAAGACTGCTTCTGAACTTAGAGGTGGAGAGGAGTCCACATTCAGCTCAGCCAAGCTGACTCACACTGCCCATACAGATGGACGCTGAAGTCACTTTGGGACAATGACCAACACTTCAAAGTGCAGGGGCAAGGGCTAAAAGCCATGGGAATTTTGTGGAAAGCACCATCATAGAAAATAATAGAGGGGCCGGGGAGATGGCTCAGTAGGATAAGTGCTTGACTGGCAAACGCAAGGATCTGAGTTCAATCCCTGGTTCCACCAAAACAAAACAAAACAAAACAAAACAAAACAAAAAAAAGGATTTGTAAACTAAGACATTGTGGGCTGGCCTGATAGCTCAGTGGACTAAAGCGCCTGATTAGGCAGAGCACAGCAGCCGGGGTTCAATCCCCGGTATGCTGTGCCAGCCCCGCCCACCCATGGGGCATTCTGAGACTGATTGAAACTGGGCGTGATGGCACGAGCCTATAATCCCAGCACTTGGGAGGCTGAAAACAGGCGAATCACTGGAGTCTGATCTACCTAGTGAGGCCCTGTAGACCCTGTCCGAAATACAGAAAAGAAAAAAACAAAGACATTGTGTATTAAGAGACCACATAAAGAGAATTGTACAGCATTGCAAGAAAGGGGCCCACATTTTCCAAGTAACTGAAACTTACAGTTAGCTGATGTTGGAAAAAATCCTAAACCATACTTAGCTTTTGACAATGAGAAATAATACTGGAAAATGACCCTTATTAGAGTTCCATTTCCCTCTCTGATCATAAACTGAGAAATAAGACTCGGTTACCCCCACAAAATCTGTGGAATTCCAATTTCTCACAAGTCTGACCTCTTGTCTCTGCCGGACTTGCTAGTAACATTTGGTTCGCAGGAAAGCAATGCTTTTGTTGGGAAGGAATTCCAAGAGATATTGTATTATTATCTGACTTTTTCTGCAACGGGACTATATGTTTCCATCCTCAAG